GTGGGGGGCGGTGTTTGGCCCCCCCCCCCCCCCCCCGGAACTGTCACTTGATGTGCTGAAACACCACTGAGCCCACCTGCCTGCCCACATGTGTGCCCCACCACTCTGTCCTGCTGAGCCAGGCCCTCAGGCCTCCTCCTGCACTGACACAGAGGTGGGGTCCCAGCCCTCTACAATATAATACAGACAGAGATCAACTCAGCTCTGGGAAAGCTCAAGCAAAAGGATTTGCGTCAGCACCCAAATGCGGATGTGCTGAAACACCACTGAGCCCACCTGCCTGCCCACATGTGTGCCCCACCACTCTGTCCTGCTGAGCCAGGCCCTCAGGCCTCCTCCTGCACTGACACAGAGGTGGGGTCCCAGCCCTCTACAATATAATACAGACAGAGATCAACTCAGCTCTGGGAAAGCTCAAGCAAAAGGATTTGCGTCAGCACCCAAATGCGCAGTCTCCATGTATGTATTAGGAATGTTAGGGTATGTCGACACTGCATTCCTCTTTCGAGAGAGGAATGCAAATGCTGCTGAGTGAAATTGCAATTGAAACGCGGATTTGAATTTCCCGTGCTTTATTTGCATAATCGCGTCCGGGTGCTATTTCGAAATACCCTATTTCGAAAAAGAAACGCTGTCTAGACACGGTTATTTAGAAAGAAAACCTTAAGAAAACCCTACCTTAAACACGTAATTTCGAAAAAAGGGTTTTCTTTCAAAAGAACCGTGTCTAGACAGCATTTCTTTTTTCAAAATAGGGTATTTTGAAATCATGCCCAGATGCGATTATGCAATTGAAGCATGAGAAATTCAAATCCGTGCTTCATTTGCAATTTAACTCAGCTGCATTTGCATTCCTCTCTCGAAAGAGGAATGCAGTGTAGACATACCCTAAGTGTGTAACCATGTAAATGCATAACGGATAAGCATAAACTCATTGGTTACCCAAACCACTACACAGCTACATGTGGCTCCTGGTTCGGCTCCCAGGGAGCTGCCTGCCATCCTGCACTGTTGCCTCTGATACCGCGACAGAAGCGTGCAGCAGCAGGCAAGAGTCAATATGTGCAGGGAGATAGCTTAAAAATGGGCTCCTGGGAAGCTGGCTGCCACTCCACTTTTATACAAGGCCGGCAGCCGAAGCATCCCAGGGGGCTGGCTGCCAGCCTGTGTGTAGCCATTTTCAGTGGTTTCATGGTTAGCAAATGTTAATATCCCTCGTATTTATCCCAGGTAAATTCATCATATTTTGCATAAAATTTGATGCACAGCTGCTTACCCCCACTCTCTGTAACAATTACTTACATGAGGTTTATTAATAAACAAAAGCATGGGTGTCCAGTATTATAGGTGGGAGAAGGCACTGCTTTCCCAAACCACCAGCCTGGCCCTACCCACACTCCTCCCTCAGAACACCTACTGTAGGTGCACTGGGAGCAGAGTGTTGCTGCCCCGAGTGCCTGCTCTCTCCATGCTCCGGCCTGGGGAGGCTGGACCCACGCATCCTCCTTCCACCCCTTGGTCTAGGGCTAGGAAAGCTGGGGCCACCTACCCTTCGCCCTCCCTGTGCTCCGAGCCAGGGGAGGCTGGGGCTGCACATTGCCCACCCTCCCTGTGCGGCCTGGGGCCACGCGTCCTCCTCCCTCTCCATGCTTTGGAGCTGGAGAGGCTGGAGACATGCAGGGAGGCTGTGGTGCTTGAGGAGTGGCTTGGCTCCTATGGGAGTGGGACCTGGGCAGAAGGGGCGGAGTTGGGAGCAAAGATGGGAGCTTGCCTCCCCCAGCCCTACTTTCACCCACCACCCATGAACAAAGTGATTTTTTAAGCATAAAGGTAGGATTTAAGTGGTCATACGACATAACAGACAGAACAAAGTAGATTACTAAACAAAATAGAACATACAAGCTAAACTTAATATACTAAGAAAGATGTTACATGTAATATCTCATCCTCTCAGTTCTAATAAGTTTCTTTCACAGATTTCCTTCTATCCTTAGCTCTTAGCTCAGTCCTCTCCCCCCCCCCCCCCCCCCCCTCAGTCTTAAATGTTCCCAGAAGTCATCATGGGTGGGGTACCTAAGAAGAACGTTGATTTGAATTACCTCACCCTTAAATAAGATTTGCATAAAGCAGCAGTCCATTGTTTAATTTTGACCCTCTACCAGCTACTTCTGGAAAAGTACAGGGTTTAAGATGGATTCCAGTATCAGGTGACATGGTCTCATGTCTCTGCAAGACCTTTGTCCCCATACTTCAAAGAATAATCCACATTGTAGGCAGGAAGGTTAAGCTTCATTGTCTCTTTGTTAATGGGCCATTATAGCCTTGAAGTACCATTAATGACTCTCACTCAGCATGACTACATTAACAACATAGGTTTATACTCCATATTCCTAATTTGAGCTACAAAGTGGATACCTGCATACACATGGGAAAATCATATTCAGTAGCTTATAACTTTTCCAGTGATATCTGACATGAGGTCTTTCACATAAAGCATATTCCACTTATGGCATATTCAGAAGCATATTTTCATAAAGTGTATGGAATACCCCATCACAGCACTTATACTTCTTATTCCAAAGCTGGCAGAATTAATGACAAGTGACACGTTTGTTCAGTCCCTAAGACATTTCAGCAAATAACATTTTTTTAATCATTGCAAACCTGTGGGTGCTTTTCCTGGCAGTCTCTCCTGGGAATCAGAATGCCATTGCTTCCCATCCTGCTCCCTACCAGAGGCCACTTCCTTGTTGCTATGTACCATCAACACATTTCCCCGGACTGATGGAACATGAGGTGTCTTCTAAAACAGCCACTATGGGAAATTTGAGACTCTGATCGTAATGGCTACTTCCAAGACAGCAACACTGTTACCTCTCCAAAGGACCTGGTTTACTCTAGGAAACTGTCCTAGGGCTTTTATTAGGAAATAGTGTCTTGTGGACATTCCAAAAAGCATGAAGTCTCCTGTGTAACAATAGAGTGCCTAGTTGTCATAGTCCTTGGGGCACTTCAAAATCTCTAGTTTGTTAATAAGCATTATAGTCATTTTCTACCATGATATTTGTAATGCTGCAAACACCACAGTATAGTGATGCTGAGCAAGAGATAAAACTAAATCATTAGTGTCAGTAGACAGTATTAAATTGGATATTTGCTAGAGGCTTTATGAGCCATAAAAGTCAACACTGAACTTTCATTGACCATAAACGCCTCTGTGTATGTGATAAGGAAAAAACATGTTCATCTGTGGAGGATTAAGCAAGAGGAAACAGTGATCCAGTCACTGAGTCAATCAGCTCGCAATCAGCAAGGAAGAGGGCATTCTTATACAAGGCACTGCTTGATCACCTACCATTATAGTAATATTAAGAAATTGAAGAAGAGTCACAACAACCAGGAAATACTGCAGCAGCCTTACTTGGATTCTGGCCTGGCTGTGGTTATCTAGTGGTTTAGAGAGGTGAAACCCAATTATAGTCTGTTTTTTTGCTTTGACTGTAGAAATATTGTATAATTCAACCCCAGTGCACATCACTTAGCCTGGCTCACATAGCTACCCCTTCAGGCTTTTCTGCATCTCTTCAAACACACAGGCCTGTTCCCAAAGTGTTTCCCTGGCCTTTAATTCAACCTGAAACCATCGCAAAATAAACTGGTTGCTGACCATTTTTTAAATTTCCAAACTTCTTATATTTCAGCACATGCACAGTTGACCTGATTCTGATTTTACACTGTATTTTAACAGTGGTTTAATTCTAAATCCTCTGAGACTAGTTGGGTCACTCCCAATTCATTTGAAGTACGTTAGATAAGAATTAGATGCATAGATTATTTCACAGCCCTTGCCCCATCATAAAACCGGAGGAGAAATCCCAAACGCATTGTAGGAGGAGCACTGCAAGAGCTAATATTAACTATTTTAGCAGATGCTTTACTCACCACAGTGGAACCCACATTCTTGGAATACAGTCTACACAGAAAGTATTATGGGTTTTACAACATAGGGCACCAAATAGGGGAAGTTCTTTAAAGTATGAGACAAGTGGCTATCCTAGTGCCTTTAGGGGGGTGTTTAACAAAATGTTGAAACCATTTATATGTTCTCTTATTAACAAAATCTTCTTAAAGGGCTGTCCGGCGGACTAGAATACAAACTTTATCTGTGAGGTGTGAGATAAGGATTTAACTTGAGGTAAAGTCAAAGCCAGAATAGCCACTGAATTCTTACTCAACTGGTGAGGAAAACTTTTGAAAGATACTGTAGCCAGTGGTTCCTCTGTCCCACTCACTAGTAGTCTAGAACTGTTTGAGACCTATATGTGAGAAATGATGAAAATTTTCAGCAGCAGCCTTTTAGCAGTTTCAGTTATGGTCAGGTACTGTTGAAAAACATAGCTATTGTATGATAGGGGTATTTTAAGGAGGTTTGGAAACTATTGTGAATCACTTGCAACATCTAAGGAAGATTGCAATTATAACCTTATGAATCCGGGTGGTGAGAATGGACTTTGCTTATTCCAGCTTTATTCACTTTGAAATCTTGTTCATGAGAAAGGACAGATGTGCCATTTCCTGGTTTTGTTACACATGCTGTCACAAGAGTTGAGTCGTCAGCATCTAAATGCCCCTTTTGACTCAGAAATCTTTTGTGTGTGTGTGTGTTGACCAGCATCCCAGTTCATCTCTTCCTCCACACGTTATTGATTCATGTAAGAGAGGGATAAATTGGAGTGGCCAGCTATCAGTCTTCTTACAAAGAGGGCAAAAATCAGAGAAGCACACGCTACTCAAAAATACAGCCTTTCAGGGGATCCAGGAGGCTTTCAAATTCTGATCTCTTACAGCAGCAGCTGGATCAAAGGGCATAGATTGTTTGAATGTTAAAGTTCAATTATCCAGACACATTCTCTGTGTCAGTCAAGGAAAAAAGCTCCCCTAATGGCACAGACAAGCAGCAGACTTTGCTTCTTTTTCCCTGCCCCCGGAGTTCCTGAGGCATTTATGGTTAGGTGGTAAGTGAATGCTTATTCCTTGGAGAGGAAGTGTATTGTATGGTTGGCTCATTTCCTAGCATGCACTTTATTTGTCAGCATGGGGCAGTATTAAATGACAAAAGGACCTGTTCAAAAGTGTTTTTTAAAAAAAGCTCCGAAACATCTGTAGCAAAATGTGCTTGATGAAGGCTACAGTTCAGGAATTATTTCACTGAAAATGGCATCTATATTGTCTTTAGCTCATGCTTTTGACAATTTTTGGAAGATTTAGAAATTGACTAAGGGGGCAGAAGTTAGGTGTAGTGATTAAAAACTGCAGTTGTGATTCTTCAGTTCTTTATATGATGTGAACTTGGTGGGTTTTCAATGGTTTCTGTTGGATAGGTTCTATACCACAAGAATTATCAGAACTTGTTAGCACTGTTGGCAGTCCCAGAAGACGGGACAATGGTTACATGGACCTGCAAACTAAGCTGCCTTTCACCTCTAGAACTGACGCTAGGACCTCACCATGTTCTGAACCCTGTACTCTGAGTACAGGTCTGCAGTGGCCTTAGGATTTCCATATCTGGCTAGGAAAGGTTCCCTGTGGTCAGAGAATTGCAGAAGACAGCTTACAGCGGCCTTTTGAGGTCCTTCTGGTATGGGATGGTGCTGAAGCTGGAGTTCCCGCATGTTGGGGCTGGGCAGGGGAAGGTGCTGTGGAGATTACGGGCAACCCTAACACCCATAGGGCAGGCCAAGGAGGATTCTATAGGCCCCTAAGCCTGTCTTAAATTACTCCAGTGGCCGAAAGGGTAAGGTGGCCTAAAGCCTCTGTAGGCCGTCAGCTTTCCCCAGCCTATGCAGTGCCCACATGAATTCTCAGCTGCCCTTCTATTTTGCTTTTTTTTTTTTCCTGCATGTGCTGATTTGTTTATATTTAGTAAGGAAATAAAAAGGAAAAACATACATTCTGCTTCATTTCAATTTGTTTTTGTTTAAATTTGGTCAGAGTCAGCCAAACTCTGGCTAGCTGGCAATGACATCAGATATAAAGGAGATGAAGCAGGTCTCTAAAAATGGCCAAAGCTTTAGAAGACCTCCAAGACGGAGCTACAATTTAAAAATGCTCTCTAGTCAGCTATTTTTGGTACAATAGCACCAGTCTAAGTCTCTCAACCAGAGTTCTGAGGTTCAGTGTCACAGGCTACCACTGGCAGTATTGACACATCCTTAAGAATGTACATATTGTGTTCAGGTGAAAAATACCTTCGAAATATGTTGTCATTTCTGTTGTTTAGTGCCTGCAAAAAAATTTGGACTTAATACTGGAACATAATGAGTCTCTCTAGCAAAAAAAAAAATTGCTTTTGTGTTAGGGTTGATTTGGGTACATTATTGAACCAGACATATTTAATTCCAATGTAGTAAATGGATCTCTGTCACCCCATGGAAGGAAGCAGGCGTGCCTCCATTACTTTTCTTTTAAAACTATTGCTGAATTGCTGTCTTAGGAACACATGAATTTAAATATTCCTGTGGTGAAGAGGAGGCACCTGTGCTGTATGGTGTTGATTTGGAAATATTTGGGAGCACTGTAAGTGCTCAGAGATTTAAATATTATTAGGGGGCTGCGCCACCTGCTTGCTATGCTCACCAACTCTCCTCTCTCCCTCCAGCCTGGCTCTCTCTCACCAGGGGGTTGGACCGGGCTGAGGCCACAGCAGGCCTGGTTCTCTCCCCCTGGCGGCCAGGGGATTGGGCCAGGCCGACGCCGGTGCGCAGCAGCCCCGGCTCCTCCCTGGACCACCAGGGAGGAGGGAGGCCGTGTGGTACTCACCCTCTCCTCCCCCTAAGCACCAGGGAGAGGGGAGGGAGGAGGCAGGTGGGACACACAGTGACGTAATGATGTCACTGTATGGTCCCAGAGGAAAAGGGTTTTTTATATATACAGAGAGAGAAATTTGCTGTATCTTATTGATTCCAGTGAGGTTTTGGTCATAGATCAGCCCATCCCAATTTGATTCCTTTCATATGTGGTTTTGTGAGAGATTAGAGGGGCAGCCATTATGTAAGAGAATAAGTTTCCTTCCAGTATTGTTTTCTCACTTGGTTCATAATAGCAGCTTATTGCTTTGTTTACTTGGAAAGACTGTATGTCAGCACATAAATAATCAACTGAGAATTAGATTTCTGAAAGGAAATATTTTCCTGCTCAATTCTTTGTTAATTCAGAGCAGTTTCTTTTCAAATGATATAGTTTAGAGCTTTGTGATGTAGTGCTACTTTCCCCCTATATCTAGCAGACAAAAGTCTCTGATCAGCTTTCATACTAAAGAGCTGTAGCTGCTGCAGGTGCTTGACTTTCTGTAGGATAAAGCAGTCCATAGCTCTGATTGCCATCCTTAGTGCCTTTTAACTGCCGTTTCCAAAAGTATCAGTACATATGGGGATTTCCAAGCTAACTTTTAAGCAAAACCAGTGGCTCTGCTCTGCTCTGGAAAAAACACAGAAACAATCTATTGAACATGATTCCAAAAAGTGCTTTTTCAGATAGTCTTTCACCTAGCCGAAGTATTTAATCTAAAAATTCTTTAGTGGCAAGGAACTAACCATATCATGCAGTCTTTCTGATCACATTTTTCATCTTTTATTCTGGCAAAGACACATAAACTTACAAGACACCAGGGGCACTGTACTCCCTTTCCTCTGATTGCATTGCATTGCACTGCCACAGTTCAGACCTCTTTTTGGAAAACCCTTTTAGGCTAAAGTATTGCCATGCCACTTCTCAAAGTTTGCCAGCCTTACTGTTCTTTTTAATGGCAGCCCTCAGAATCCGAGTGGTCCCTAGTAAAAGTGGTGTGCTTCACAACTCTTCTCTTCAGGATTGCATAATACACATCAGAGGTAAGAGATTTTTTTTAAAAGAAGGCTTTGGCTTCCAGTCTAACCCAACCGTGTACTACTTCACCCACCTCATTATCAGTTTCAACAGCATGGCTTGGTTTGAAAGATGAACAGAAAATAAAATCAGAGCAAATTGTGCCAGCTGTTCACACCAGTATAAAATAGTCGCATGGATTGGAGAGGTAATGCTGATCTTAATTCCTCCCTTTCATTGATGGTAGGAATATGCTGTCTGCACCAGGAATTCTAACTTTTTCTATCTGCCATTGGGCAATACCCAACGATTGTGCATCAATTAATATAAATTATTAATTGTAATAATAACTTCCTAGTAATTCCAATCATACAGTGAGACATATTAGGACCTACATCACTTCTCCAGACACTCCAACTTGACTGGAGCTAGAGGCTATAAAAAGAAGCCAAGTGTCTCAAAGAAATATCAGAAAACTTAGAGTGACACAGACACTAGATTTAAAAACATTGCATCTAGGTCTTTTTTATATGTTTGGGGAGAGGGTTTTTTCCCATTACTGTAATAGCTAGATTACATTTGTAGCTAGTCCTAGATCATTAGCTTTACCAGTATGTAAGATTGTCATTCTGAATGCGTTTCTGCATTTGACTGAGTCTGGCTGCAAAGTAACTCGTAAGGACTTGTAATACAATTGCTAAGGTCACTGCCAAATAAAATTATTGGTTAGATTTTTATTAAGTGATAGTGTGTGCCCCATCTGATAGTCTGCTGACAGTGCTATTCATTGCCCTGCTGGGGCCCTTTGTTCAACCAGCTCTGGAGGACACTCAGGATCTGCCTCCTAGTCAATGGAAGGACAGGAAGGAGACATTGTAGTGGCTGAGTTCCTGTTAGTTATTTAGTTCTATTGAATTTTAACTGTGTTTTTAATGCTGTGTTTGGGTATCTAGAGCTTTGCGTAAATGTATTTTAAATTATTAATTAAATCAAAATGTAAAAAAATCTAGTCTTGGCCTTCAGATTGCAGAATGGGAAAACAGGGCTAGGGAGTACTGCAGAGACAATGGGCCTGAAATTTTAACTGCCTTACATTCTGTGTAGTCATTTGCACCTGTACAAAGTGAATGTAAAATGTTACCATATGATGGTAGTAATTTATGCCCATTTTGCCCAGCTTGCATTGCAAGGAAATGGAGAATCATGCCTAATATGCTCATTCCTTAAGAAAGGGACATTGTGGCATTCGACAGATACTTCGATGGACAAATAAATAAAAGTTTTGATGGATCCTTCCCAGGCGGTAGGATGTTGGCAGTGTTGGAGAATTTTATTGATATAAAGTAGACAGAAATGGGGTTATTTTCAGGACCCCATAATTGATGAGGAAGACTTCACTTCATCAGCCCCAAGTCCTCAGGAGTTGAGAAAAAGAAATTCTATATAGACATACTAACTAGCATGTACAGTTTCTGGTGGGTTGGTGTTTCTGCATTTGCACTATAGTATGCACATGATAGAATCTGTCATGTTTTAATGCATAGATTTTAATTTGACATTAGGGCATATTTGATCTTAATAATTTAGTGGTTCATGGATTATGTCAAACTCACACATTTTCATTGTCTCGGTGAGCTGTGCAGAGGTAACAGTTTACACACATCTAATAATCTACTTGTTAAGGTTCCCTAATACTAATAAGCACTGATGTTCTACAGCACAGTGGGTTTCTGAGAGATGCACTGTCAATTACCTATGGATTAAAAACCAATATGTTTTAACAGATTTTGACCTGAATGGGAACACCCTATTGGTTTTTGTGATGGTATCTCCTGCAAAAAGCTCCATGACATGTTTAGTTTTGATTGTTGGGTTGGAAGTCAAATTTCAGTAACATAGTCTGACTTGCATTGAATTACCTTACAATCAATAGTGTAGGCTTTTCTCTCTGTCCATACTGCAGACCTCAGCTTGTGTACCTGGATATTGCAGGGAGCAATGTGTGTCAGAACTGTATATGGTGCAAAGAGCCTTAAGAATAGAGAGAGAATCCTTTCTCTCTACACTGCACAGCTATTTCGGGATACACAAGCTGCCTGTTATTTTGAAATATTTTTCGAAATAACGGATGCGCTATTTCGCCATCCCGGTA